CTCAGGGTCCCTCTCCATGTCTGTTTGTAGGACTGAAGGAAGGAACTCTAGACCTCACCCCGCCACTCACTCTGTTGACTGTCAAATGAAATTCTGAGTCTCCACTCCTCCCCCATGTAACTCAGGGGTAAATTCTAAGCCAATGGAGGTTATCCTGTTTCTCTTTTATTCTTTCAGTCAGTGAAGATCTACTAGAGATCTATGATGTGCCTCTGATGTCCTCCAGCCACTGTAAACGCCTGTCCTCAGGTCTGCTTGGAGCAGAGGCATGTGGCCTAAGCCTAATCGAAGAGGAGTGAGGGCAAGTGTGCTGGGGGGTTTCTAGAAAAGGCCTCTTCACTCTTAAAAAGATGCATGGGAAGACGTGACCTCCTCTTCTGCTGGACACTGTCTGTGACTACATTTCAGCAGTGCAGCAGCTGTCCCAAGACCACGAGGGCAGCAAAGCACAGGCATCTTGCTGAAGATGGTGGAGCAGAAACAGGTAAAGAACCTGGGTCTTCACGTGTCACTGAGCTGCTGAATTAGTCAACCCTGAACCACTCTATCTCAGAACTTCTTGTAATGTAAGAAAGCAAACATTTTATTTATCCTTTAAGCCATTTTGAAAGGGGTTTCCTATTACTTGTGGCCAAAAGCATCCTGTTATAAACCTCATAGAGAAAGTCAAGGGCCTTCTTTGCTATCTAGACTCTGTACAAAAAGAACCAGAGGGCCCCTCCTGTAGGAATTGATCAATTCTAGTACACAGAGAGCATATGTAAACTCACAGACATACGAGACATATGGACACAACCAAACTTAGGCCTATACTTAAACATTCAGGGCAGCCTTTACTAGGTCAAGGATAAATGCGTTTGAAGTTGCCAAAACAGAGCCATTCTGGGAATGCCATCCACTGCGGGCACTTCCCCAAAACTGCCTTTCAAGGACAAGGCAAATGCTGGGCTCCATTGCTCCCATTCATTCCATTACTTAATTTGAGAATTTGTGCCAAGAGTGGGGAGAGAGGAAGAGAAGGTGACGAGACTGGAACAAGAAGAGTCGTGTCCGTTCCACTCGGTGAAGCATTCACCTAGCATCATGGCTCCTGAAAAGGCTGTAGTCTGAATGCCAGCTGTGGGGGGGGGGGCAGCCACATGCCCGGGAGTACCCTTTCCTAGTGCCTGCCAGCTCCCCCATCAAATCTATGGCACCCTCCAAGGCCACCCCCAATTTAAAAAATATTCAATAACAGCATTCTTTAATGTGGAAAACTTACAGTTTTACTAATCTGATGTAAAGTGTGAGCAAACGGCTCTTTGGAGAACAAGGCTGACACTGTGTTTGCTTTGTACACGTGGCTGCAAGACAGTCCCTCCAAGCACTGCTTCCCTAATGTCCTTAGCCTTCCTGCACAGAATGCTGAATGGACTTTGTCCTTTTCTAAATCTGAGCCCTTGGTTTTGGTGGCGGAAGGTTCAGCTCAATCCGCGGGCTGACATTTGGGCTCCAGAGGAGCAAAGGCACAACCACCGCCGCTGGGCGTGAGGTCCGAAGCACGCTAGGCACGGGCCAACTCAGGCCCTAAGACTGCGCTCCTGGGAAAAAGAAGCCAGAGACTGACAGAGAGAAGAAGAAGCAGCACAGGGAGATAGAAACATGTAGAAGACAGAGGCGAGACACCTCACGATGGGCCTCACATGAGAAAAGGCCAGGACTCCGCCGAGTACAGGAATGTGTGGGAGCCAGAGCCGTAACATCAGGCCGGCATCAGAGGCCGGGTGGCAGCTCAGCGGTGACTGATGGCCTTGGGTTCAGCTTCCCGAGCCGTAAACGGAGCAGACTGAACTACATGAGCCCTGTGGGTCCTCCCCGCTTTGTGTGTATCACAAAGTCCGGGCAGCCAGGATAAGAAAAGCATAAAACAGAGAACGTTTATCTTTCCATGAGCAAAACAAAAGCCCAGTCCCATCATGAGAGACTCAGCCAGGTAAGTGGATATTGAAGATTAGATGTCTTCATGAAGGAAGAAGAGGACAAATCAGCAGAAATCACGCAAAATGCCACGTCCAACAGATTTAATCCCCCAACCTTCAGGGCTTTTGGAACCTTAAAAAAAAACAGCTGCTAATGAAGCCCCAAAGCCCAGCTCCTGCCAAAGCTCCACAGAAGGGATCATCTGTAAAAAATCACGGCTATGGAGACACTGATCTCTGAGAATCCTCAAACTTCCAAAACGGCTCTCAGAAATAGCAAGTTTAAATTTTTCAAAAAGCAGAAAAGAAACCTCTGAAGCTGTGAAGAACTGGGAAGCAGTTAACGCACAGTCAAGGAAAGCTGGAGGCTTGAAGAACACACATACCTTTGCATTGATCAGCTTCCTGCACACGTACTACGTTCTGATTGACTGATTTAAAACTAAAAATTTAAAAAAGGATGGTAGGGCACAGACAAGATGAGAAATAGGAATAGAGGGCACAGAACAATAATGTTCATGGCATCAAGGGATGGCCGGGAAGTAAGCAGCAGAACTTCACAGGATACGGAAGGTAGAAGGCTGAGGGGGGTGACGGTGACCACTACCTGAACTGTCACCTACTCACCTTCCCTGGGGACTCTGGTAGCCATAGACCTTGTGTGGGTATCAAATATGAGATACAGCTCACCATCTCCTTTTTCTGGGCTGTATTCTTACTCCATCTTTGTAAGGCCAGGTTCTAGAGCTCAGGGGGACCACCCACAGCCTCTGGTATTTTCAGTGTGTGTAAGAGGCTTGATGCCCCAAGCGGCCACTTAAGTTGCACTATAGCACAGCACCCTTGAAAGAAAGGATGGGCTCCATAAGGTCTAAGCTCTCCCTAAACCTAAAATCCTGAGCGTTTATGTGAAGGAAGTGGTAGGAAAAAGAAAGTTGGCAAATAGCTAGAAAAGCTTTTCAACACTGGGGACTTTTCCTAGAAAGAGAATGCCATAGCAACCAATCCCCCTTCATTCCATGACCTGTCTATATTTTGAATATTTTATCTTCATACTCCAATCACTCTGCATCATCAGAACTTTCATCATGGCGGAAAGGCCAAACTATGTTGGTCATATCTGCATAAGATATGCAGGTGCTGGGCACTGAAGGTCTGCATTCCCACCCCAAATTCATATGTTGAAATCCTAACCCTGAAGCTGAAGACTGTTGGACCTCCTGGACCCTACAGGGCCAAACCATAGAGCTACCTGTGAACATTTGCTATCCTTTAAGACATAGGAAGAAGGACTCCAAGGTGGCTCCGAGGTCATCTGGGCTGTCATTTCCACCACAGCTGTCATTCCACATGGGGGGAGGGGAGGAGGACTGCCTCCACCTTGGTTTCAAAGGGCAAGACCAACATCCGGCTCTGTTGGGCCAGGGGACCGGAGCGCTGGGGATTCGACCCCCACTGGGAAGGCTGTGGAGGCAGACTACGGCTCCAGTGGGTCTGGAAGGCAGAGCATCAAGCCCAAGAGGATTATTCTCGAGCCTTGAGAGATAGCCTAGAGTTTGCCTTCCTACGTTTTGGACTTGCCTGGGGCTTGTCACCCCTTCCTCCTTTCCCGTTTCTTCCTTTGGGAATGGGAATGACTACTCTGTGCCTGGCCCACTACTGTATTCTGTAAGCACAGAACTTGCTTGATTTCACAGGTTCACAGCTGGGGAAGAATTCTGCCACAGGATGAATCTTCTGCTGTTTTAAGCCGCTCAGTCTACGGTAGCCTATTATAGAGGCCTATACTAAGACAGAGGTTTTCATATCTTGAAACGTTTTCACTAAAAAAAAATAATAATAACAATAACAAAAATAAAATAAAGGTAAAATTTAATCTAAAAGCTTGAGTGGTTAGAGAGCTAAATTCAGCGGCCAAATAACCTGGCTATCTAGAACAATCCATTCCCTGAAGGGTTCAGAATCATGGTTTTACTGGTTGGATTATTATGCTACCAGCAGAACCCACAAAAATACAGAACGAAATTCCACTGCCAACATTTTGGAAGGCCTAAAGGACTTGCCGTGTGTGATACTGTGATTTATAAGAAGTAAGTATTTGGTCTTTGTTCCCTTTCTGGAACAGAATCCTAAACTCCTTGGAAGTTCCTAAGGGATGACAGTGAGAAGCGTCTTTTGTTATGTTAATGAGGTGACTTTTGGGAAGCCGCTCAGGATGGGGGTCAATGAAGCCAACAATGGGATTAGAGGGTAGGAAGCCTCAGTCCCACACCCCCTGATCTCTGGGGAGCGGGGTGGGGGGGGGGCTGGCGGTTGAATCAATGGCCAAAGATTTAATCAATCATACCAACGTAATGAAACTTCCATAGGAAACTAAAAGGATAGGGTTTAGAAAGCTTCTGGGTTGGTGAGGGCGCGGAGATTTGGGGAGAGTGATGCACCTGGAGAGGGCATGGACGCTGCTCGCCCCTTCCCACAGACTTTACCCTACGCATCTCTTCATCTGGCTTTTGATTAATATTCTCAGTCATCTAGTGAGCAAACTGGTTTCCTGAGTCCTGTGAGCTGTTCTAACAAATTAATCAAACCTAAGGAGGATTTATAGCCGGTCGGTCAGAAGCACAGGTGACACCCTGCACTTGTGATTGGCATCTGCAGCGGGGGCAGCAGCAGCCTTGTGGGACTTAACCTGTGGAATCTGATGCTATCTCCAGGTAGACAGTGTCAGAATAGAGTAGCACTGTAGGACACCAAATTGGTGTTCAACTTGCTTGTTGGTGCAGGGACACCAACCCACCGCCACAGACACCGGAATTGGTATTAGAATCCTATCACCACAGTACAGCTTCAGACAACAATCAGTAACGTTCACAATGGGCTCCTAATATTACACATTATATTCTATGATGGGAGGATGGAGAAGAAGCACATCTTAAATCATCATATTTAAAACCTGAGCAGGGCCCAAGGAGCATAACTCATAAAAAAAGACTGAAACAGTTACAAAATATCCTAAGTGTAAAAGAAACAGGAGGGACTTCCCTGGTGGTCCAGTGGTTAAGACTTCGCCTTCCAATGCAGGGAGTGTGGGTTCGATCCCTGGTTGGGGAGCATGCCTCACAGCCAAAAAACCAAAACATAAGACAGAAAGAAGCGATATTGTAAAAAATTCAATAAAGACTTTATAAAATGGTCTACATCAAAAAAACAAACAACAACAACAAAAAAACTTAAAAAAATAAAAGAAACAGGATATAAAAAGTGAGCGTTTAGAAATCACTCACAGAGAATAAATAGAGAATATTCCAGGGAGAAAGTACTAAAGGGGAATAAGAAAAAATAAAGCGACTCGTAAGGGACAATTCAGAGGAAAGGTATGAATCTCAAGTATGGCAAGATACCAAATTAGTTTTTAAACCAAGGCTTTTGCCTCACTCTATAATCATGATGGGGGAAAATTTCACAGCAATAATTGTTTTTAACCTGATAATGAAAATTCTTATCCCAACAAAGTTTACAGTTAAGACAACAATTATTCAAGTAATACTCTTTAGAGCACTGACTCTGTCCTTAGCAAAAAAGGAGTAACTGAACAGTAATTGAGTATTTTATGACTCAGCTGATAATAACAAACACAGCAACAAGAACAATAGTTGACATTCATTGAGAGCTTACAATTTGTCAGTCACTGTTCAGAGTATTTTACTTGTTTTAATTCAGTTAACCCTTACAACTGTACTTCTCTCCATTTCAGAGAGAAATGGCTTAAAGAGGGACAGAGCTAGGAAGTGGCAGAAAGGGCAGTCTGTCTCCAGAGCCTGTGCCCTTAACCACCATACAACACTCAAGAGTCTTTTTTTATTCCACCCTCCAGTTTCATCTTCCAGATGACATGCATCTCAAAAATACCAACAAGGGCACAATGCACAGGAGAAATGCGATAAAGCGTTACATCACTTACCATTGGGGAAAGCTAGTACACTGATGATAAGAAAGAAGAAAATTACGGAGAGGATACCCCTCCAGATGTTGTCTTCTGGGACAGAGTCATCCCTGAAAATAGAAAAGGAACATTGAGTATTCATTTTTGGATCTAAATAGCCAGCCTAGAAGGAGTAAGAGTTCCATGTTCTAAAAACTGGGGGATTGCTAACTTTATTTTGCTGAGCTAAGTCATTACACACACTATCTACTATTCACTATCATTTCCTAAAATAACACAGTGTCATAGTCAAGTCCAGTTCTGGTGAGGAAGGCAATTGGCAACCTCACACCCCAACACACATTCTGCTCAGACAAGCATTTGAGAATCACAGTTCTTTAAAAAAAAATTAAAAATACCCAGGATGTCAAAAGGTAAGGTTTATTTTGGAGAAATACCTTTTGGTTTTAAGACTAACTAAAGATGACCTTTACTACAGAGACTGTGGCAGAAAAATTGTTCGGGAATCAGAAAGGAAGCATAAGATTATAAGGAATAAGGGTATAATGCAATGAGATTATGCAGTCACTTGTCAAATATGGGCAGTTGGCTATCTAAGGGATGAATAAAAATGGGGCAGTGTAACATAATCAGAAAGCACCAGTAAAAAGTGCTAAAAGAAAAATTAAGAGAGTATGAATATGACTGGTTCACTTTGCTGTATGGCAAGAAACTAACACAACATTGTAAAGCAACTATACTCCAATAAAAATTAATTAAAAAAAGAAAGAAAAATTAAGAGAAAACAAAATACAAGATTTAAACTCAGAGCAGAAGCCAAAGAACTGTAAATAGGAGATAAGCTTCCCCGTTCTCCTGCCTGGTCATTTCTAATGTATTACTGTGTTTAACTCCTCTATAACCCCAGTAACTGAAATGATTACATTTGTTGGTTTATATGTTGTCTATCTCCTCTGTAGAAAGTAAACTCCTAATGGCAGGGAATTATTCATTAATAGGCCCTCAATATATTTCTGGACTGATTATTGATTATGGAAGAAAATTTACTGTTTTAAAATGAAGTAAAATTTCCCAAATGGAAATTTTCTTAACATTGATGGTGAAGAATTTAGGTTTTGACAGTTTGCAACAAAAAAGAAGATTCTAGTAACATATCTGGGGCTCAGAGAAGCAAACAAAAGTGGGAAAACAGAAATACATGACAGTAAAATTTTCTGAAGTACTGATAACTATTGAGAAGCTTGGGAGAGGGAAGTTCAGTGTTTCAGTTTCGAAAGACGCAGGATGAGTAGACAGAAGATATGAGATGAAACAGAATGGAAGGAGATAGTTTAGAGATGATGAGACTGGTAGCAATAAATCTTAAAATTATAAAAGAAGCTGGGTTTATCTAGAGAAGGACTGTAGTGAAAGAGTTTTCAAAAGACAAATATTAAATTAAGATTAAATATTACTAAAGGAAAAGAGACAGGTCAAAAAAAAATCTTAGAAGAAAACCGATTTCACGTAGAAAGAAGTTCTAGAGCGTCAGAATACATACATGAAAAGGTATGGAATGAAACAATAATGAATTACCTAGTTAAGGACTGGGTCCTGGGGTATTGGTTTAAAAGCAGAAGTTAACTTAGATGCCAACTTCTGTTTAGGCTGCTCAGTTTCTGCACCCAATGAAATGATTTCCAGACTTATGACAGGATTAAACGTAAGGTTCTGAAATAAGAGATCATACAGATCTTAAACGTTTCCTAGATCATCCTATGGCCAAGTAACCCTAAACTGGACAATGCTGGACAAAGAATGCTTGGCTGTTAACTTCAGAGATCTGATTACAAAACCAAACTACAGAATCAGACAGACTTCCTTCTGCAGGGAGGAAGTGCCTTAAAAAGTACAATCTTATTTTAATGGACATACTAATGATTAAACACCTGCCCAGAGGTCATGAACACAACCTAAAAATGCCAGCCCGACCATTACCAGGGCACTTGCCATGCTCTCTGGCTTATGCAGAGAAGCCCCATATCCAACTTCCAAGAACACCAACTTTTACTGAAGGATGGCTGCACAGTGAGGGTAGGAACACAATGTCCTCATTCAGACCAAATCACACTACTGATATTGCAAATAATGACAGCAACGATAATAGCTCCGGTTTATCAAGTGTCTACTGTGTGCCAGGCACTGAACAGGCAGTTTCTAGACATTATCTCTAATTGTCACAACCCACTGGGCTATTATCAACCATCTGAGGTAACAAAGGCTCAGATAGGTTTAGTAACTTGCCCAAGATTGTGGAGGTAAGAAGTTACAGAGCCAGCATTCAAAACCAGGCCTGCTAGACTCTGAAGATGATGATCTTTCCTCTTTGCCAAACTGCCTCATGAAAACTTATCTGTCATCCTAAATCAACCTGACTCATGGTAGATGCCCAGGGATGGCGTAAGAGAGTTTCACAGCGTGTGCAATTTGTAAGTTACAAAATAAAAGCAAGGCTAAAATGAATAAACGTGGCCTAGGAAAAGAAGATGGAATCCCATAACTCACAACTTATACCAAAATATGTTCTGGATGATTCAAGAAACTAAAAGTAAAACCAAAACAAAATTCTAGAAGAAATGATGGGCGAATTAAAAAAAAAACCAAAACCCCCAAACAAAACACAACAATCTCAGAGTGGGGAAGGCCTTTCGAAAGTACGATACAAACCTCCGAAGTCATAAAGGAGAAGACTGACAAATCTGCATGGCAAAGAAATCCGTAACAAAATCGTAAACTTGGAAAAAATACCTGCAACTCATATGAAGGCAAAGGGTTAATTCCCCTAATTACAAAGCTCTCCCCCCGAATCAATTAACAGAAAGAACACATGGACAAAGAAAAGCAAATAGAAAAATGGACAAAAGATATGAAGGGACAGTTCACAGAGCAGAAAAATCCATTGGCTCTCAGGCAAGTGAAAAGAAAAAGATGCTCAACCTTGTTCATGGTAAGAGATGGGGAAATGGAAACAACACAAAAAGACCATTTTTATCTACCTTATGGACAAAGGTAAAAATTTAATGGGTGAGGCTATGCAGAAATAGATAAACAGGCATTCTCACATACCACCTTTACGGAGCGCCATTTGGCAACATTATTAATTTACAAATGCATACACCCTGTGACCCAGCAATTCCATGTATGACAATGTATCTCACAGATATACCTTCATTTATGCAAAAACGACATATGTACAAGGTTGTTCACTGTGGCATTATATGTATTAGCAAAACTTGGAAACAACTAAATGTCTACTGAAAAGGGACTGATTAAGTAAATTATGGTTCCGTCTCAACATGGAGTACTAGGCAGCTGTAAAAAGAATGAAGCTTTTAATTAATTAACTGATACAGAATAAATTAAGAGATCATGAAGTAAACAAAGCAATTTGCAGAACAGTGAGTATAGTAAGCAACTTTCTATGCAAAAAAGAGAGCGTGTATATGTATATATAACTTGTAACTTCTGCTCATGGCTGCATAGCATGTCTCTGGAAATCCATCCAAGGTATGGTGACACTGGTTTTCTCCAAAGAGGATAAAAGAAGAGTGGGGCGAGGCTTTTCACTACATATCCTTTGGGGTACCTTGGATTTTAAGCAATGTAGGTATGTTACATTTCAAATAAGTCAATTATACATCAACATTAAATTTGTAAGAACTTGAGATCAGTGATAAAACAATGAAACTGCAATTTTGTAAATTTTGAGCCATTTTATTAGAAAGACAGGATCAAAAGAATGGCCTAGTTTCAGAAGTAAAAAAAAGGCCAATTAAACCTGAATAAAACAGCAGCGAGTCTGAAAAGTTGGCCGTTTTATATTTGCCTAATTAGAAAAACAAAAAGTATCAAAGATGGACGGCAAGATCTTTGGCAAAACTGAAAATATACAGTACAGGAAAATCAAACTCCCGTGATCAAAGATTGAAGGCTAGGCAGGTGAGCTAAAGAAGAAATCTTGAGTCCTATCAGACTAGCAGCCCCACATACACCCTCTGGCTTTCCTGAGAGTAGAGAGGGTGTACCCTCGGCATCCAGCACAGTCCCTGCAAGAGGTGGGCGCGCAGAAAGAACGGAATGCATGACTGAGGAGGCTGCCCACGCCACCGGCCTCCTGACAAGCTGACCACACAGGGCCGTTCCGTAAGCTCTGGTGTGGCCTCTTCTCTCTCAGCTCCCAGTAATCCGGAGACTTAACCATATGCCGAGGGACACAGACATTTTCCATAGTTAACCATGAAAAGCAACTTGGCTGCAAAGGCCCCAAAGACCACACTACTGACTCCAGAGACCCTCAATTAGAGGACAAGAAGGGTTTATCTCTGGACATCCACTAGATCTGTGCCGCACTCAGAAAGCTAGATAGCTGCTTTGCATGTTAGCTCTCTTAATCTTCCTAACATCCTCAAAGGGGGGAAATGATCATAATCTGCATTTTACTGACTCCAAAGTCTAAGTTTTTCCCCCTTTAGGAGGCTGTTTGGTGCAGTGACAAGGAAGACAGGCTTGTGGCCAGACGGCGTGGACCAGAATTCTGACTTCACACTTATCAGCCTGTGTGACCTTGGGCAGATTACTCAACCTCTCTGTGCCTTGGTTTCCTCCTCAGTATATCAAAGGGTAATAACAGTTCTACCTCACAGGGTTGTTGTGAGGATAAAATAATTCAACACGTGCGATGGACTTAGAACAGTGCCTGGCACAGAGGGCCTGTCAGTTATTAGTTTACAATGTCTGTCCACCCATTCCCTCAGCTAGCTGACACCTATCGTTGGGGACAAAGATGAACAAACTTGGTCCTGATTCTTGAGAGAATCATGATGAAAAGCACAATAAGACATAAAAATCAAATTATTATCTTAGTATAGCTTTGGCCTGAGAGAAAAGTTTTCAGTTCGCTGGCACTGTCTCTGATCAACCTGATAAGACACCCCCAAACCCAGAAAACCACCTCGATCGTTCACACAAGACTGGCCCCTGTTCGTGGGGCTGTTACCATCTCCTCAGGCTCTGAGGGGACAATGTAGTTCCTACTTCCCAGGGGAGCTCAGAACCTGCAGTCAGGGCTGCC